TATATATATATATATATATATATGCCTATACATAAACAAACACTAAAAATATATAAGTAAAACTTCGAATTGCTTATTTAAAAGAATCACTAAGTTATTAACAAAATTATGTGATTTCCAGACTTTTTTTCTACGAAAGTTCATAAATTTGTTGGCAGATATTTAAGGCGGTCACTCACTGCATGCGCTTGACGGTCGTCGGCCGACGCGATTCAATGGCGAACTAGAAGCTACTACGCACGCGCAGCGGATCGTTTTTAATGACGATCAGCCCAGACGGACAATCAGCAGGTTTCTCTTCGTGTAACGCTCACAGGGACGGTCGACGACGCAGTGAGTACTCGGATTTGTTATGCAAAGACGTCCATTATTTGGCGATATTATTTTTTTCCATTCTAATTCTCAGTTGATAGCTATAATTTGATAAGTACGGTACCGTAAGCAATTCGTTGTTAATTTTCAAGTTTTTAATATTTGCATTGTAAAGGTATGTAAATCAGTGAAAACTGCAATGTTTTGTTCTGTTGCTCACTGGAATTCGATAACGTGTTCGATCCTTTTAAATCAGCGATTAATATACAAATAATGAATGTTTATGAGTGCAGTAGGAAGAATATTTTCATGAGTTAAAACAGAGCCAAGTTGAATAGAACAGTCAATCTTTCAACGAATTATTAAAATATTCTTCCCATTTGTACAAATACAGAATATTAATTATTCGTTTTTTTTTTATTGGATTTGTAACAATTTTTGTAGACTTAACCAAGGAGGATATATCTTCACAAATTGTAAAATAAAGGCTGAAATCTTACCAACTCTAATCGTAAAGGTTACATTCATGACAATTCCTTCAGAATTAACAATTAAGCTCATACTGTAGGCATAAAGTAGTTTTAAGTCCGTTTGTTTATATTGGATTTATACACTTCTCGGTCACATGGCGACTTATAATATGCAAACGAATTATGGAATAGGCCTACTTACTTAACAATATTTAAGAATTTGAATTTGGTAGATTTACTGAACAAAATTATTTTGGAAATGAGGCCTATTTATCTTCACAAAGAAATGGTCACAAGTTACAACACACGCCGTTTAATGCCAGGATATCCATTGCGTATGAGCATGATTGGATTTCTGCAGGATGTTCTGAGTGTTGTGTAAAAGTTGAAATAATGAAACGAGGCCAACAAAAATAGGACTATAACAGATAGGCCTAAGAGGGGGAAAAATACAAACAAAATTGGCCATTACGTTTAACGGTTGAATGTTGCTGACTAAAAATAAAACACGTTTGAACGATATCCTACATTTCAAGTGTTATTGCTCCGATACATTTGATTGGGAGTGATATTTAAAACAATTATTTTTATTAATAACAGACAGAAAAGTATCGCAAGAAAAACAATTTATGGATTAAAATAATGGAAGGAATTCACATTGTCAAATGTAAAAGAAAACAATTTAAATTAATTTCGAATTAAAAAATATATTTATGAAAAACAGAAGATGTGGGCTGTAGCTTAGTGATTAAGATGTTTACCTTAGTGATGAATGTTCAACTTTTGTACTTTAATCATGGAGCTACTGATAGCCCTAGCATAGGGATAAATTTTCGATTTTCTAATCAACTGTCGGTCGTAAAATCAGATACTACAAAATTACACTCCAAATTATGTTATGCGCATTGTTAAAGTTTTACTTTAAACCCCATTTGAACGGTCATGCTCCAAATTACTAAACCAAAGTCATAATCTGAACAAAAGTATAAGTACTTCTAACGAAGGGCTAGTTTTGTCCCTATGCTATTTTCATCTTGAGTTTAAATTTGATCTTTCTCAGTCAAGCTGTCATCGTTTCCCCAAGTATTGGTTTATAAACAAATAGCATATGGTATCATCTGCATTTGATATTTTTACATTACATTGGTTGCAGTATTTGACACTAGGTAAAAAAAGTTACTGTTAGGTTTGCCTTAACAATTTCTAAAAAAGCAGATGACAGTAAAAGCCGCCGACGTACTCCTACTAACAAGCTTATTGTACTGTAGTTCCTCGGTATGGTGTTCACAACATTAACAGTTTCTGAACAAAATATGGTTAATATCTTGAGGGAAATCTGCCTGTGATTATAAGTTTTGGTAAAGTAATTGTTGGTATTATTATCCTACATTCATGTATTATCTATTTCGTTTATAGATGTATATCAGCAAAATAATTCTTGTCATGTTGGCACTCATTTGAAAAATTAAATGTATAGGTTTTTTGTATTTTTTTAAATTTAAAATTATAAGAAGTGGGATAAATTAATACCTTATAGTACTAGAAACAATTTCTCCATACATTGTTTACCGCAATAAATTTTGTGAACTTGGTATTAGATTACAATACCCGATTTCTAGTTATGGCTACTACTATTCAAAAAGTCTTTTACCTTGGAAATATTCATTCTCCCAATATTGTTGTTTTTGTTGGGTCTTGTGTCTATTATTAATATTTATTTCAGGTAAAGGCAACATCTTTCTCTAACGTTTAAAGACATGCCTTAGATGTTTTGAAATTTATTTTCCATTAGCTACAAGTTTATTACAATATGTAAATAGTTGTTTTTCTGTGTGGTTATAAAATGAATCATTTTTTATACAAGTAAGTTTGAGTCAATATTTAAACACCATTATTGACTGTGAAACATAGAAATATTTTGCATAATAAATATCAATGGAAAACCAACTGCTTGAATTAATATTAATTTATTGTATATACATTTTTACAATTTTGATATTACATAATTCTATTCAGTCAATAAAAGTTCATTTCATCCAGATTGCAGAACTATAATTGAGCCAACTAAAAGTGTGAAGAAAATTAAAGTTTCTACAACATTGCTGTATCTTCTTGGGAATCAAAAAAGGATGTTATAAACTTATCAATAAAGTATAGACCAAAAAATGGTTTTAGAACCCTTAATAATTATCAGCAATTCTTCACTTAGTGGCGAGTTGATTGGCCGAGCATTTAAGTCAGGGCAACACCTTAACCTTCAGCTATAGTATTGGCGCTAGTTCGAACGGCTCACTTGCCAATGGTTCTGATGGTTTTAACTTCTCGGATAAGGACTTTAAACCATAGGCCAGGTGTACACCTTTGGCTTGTGTGCATTTTAAAGAACCTAGTACATCATTCAAGAAGAGAAATGAAAGAGTTTAAAAATATTTCTCATCTCAAATACTTTAGGGGTATAAATTTCTACAAGAAAATACACCAACTTAGCAACTTTTCTGAACTGTAAGTTTCACAAAAATTATCTTGATCTTTGGCAGTCTTTAGTTCCTAAAAAATTAAAATATTCTAAACCATGTTGCCATACAATACATAGTCAATTTTGACATCATATTCTGTAGTTGGAATCTCATTACATATCTGTTCATTGAAAGCTAATGCGATCGTAATCGGTTTCTTTCCGGTAACTTCTTGACATTTCTTTTGATACATATCATAGTAGCCCTTGCCACGCCCAAGACGATCACCATCTTGTGAGAATCCAAGGCCTGGAACAATTATCAAATCCAAACCACCTGAAAAATGTAAGTTTTAAAAACCTCTTATTTACCGTGATTCTATTTGAATGTAGAGGGGTAGCGTTAGGTGTTTGTACCTCCCTGAGTGACAGCTGGAAAACAAAATAAATTTAAAAAAAAAATTTATTTTGTTAGAATTACTCAAAAAGTTTTATTGCCAGTGTGAAGAGTGGATTACAAATTAAACATACTGAAAAGAGAAGAATCAAAGCACTTCGCTAGTGTCCTTGGGTAAAGCATTTTACCTTTAAATTATGTCTCTCTTCACCCAGGAGAATCCTAGTATAAAGGGTAAAGGTAAGGTGGGAGAATAACCCATAACTAGCAATGTCATGGTGCTGAATTGCATATGGTCCGTGGCTACCTAGCAGCCGTATATAGGCGCTTCATGAAAGATACCATGTTCACATCAAAACTACGACAGGGGCTAAGATGAACCATAACATCGGGGTACCCCCTACTCTTCCGAAAGATATAATAGGTTCTTTAAAGTGCACACTAGCCAGATGTATACACTAGACCTCTATTTTAATTAATTATCCAAGAAGACTTGATTCTAACAACCGAACCATGGGCGAGGAGCGGATGGAACCAGCACCGATGTTAAGGCTGTAGCTAGTGGCGCAACTGCCTTACCGCTCGGCCACTCGACTCGCCCGTGTGTAGTGTAGTTGCATTTGAATGGAACAATTCGTGTGCACTGCAATGAATAGTTAGTGCATATTTCTCAGAGAGTGCAAAAGGTTTAACTTATGCAAGGTAGTATTAATAACATTTCCAGCTCTTTGTGTGGCAAAAGGGAGTAGTATCAATTTCTAGATAATAAATAGTTCCTACCAGTTGATAATGCATCCTCTCGGGTATCATCTTCTGCAGGTTGCTTGATGTTCCACTTTGTCTTGGGAAGAGAATCATAATCTTGCATCGATTTCAAAAGTAGCATATTCATCACAGGACCTTTTAAAAGACATGAGCAAATATTGAAATGCGTTAGTTTATACTGTATGTATATGTATAATATGTATATACATGGGCATACAACAGTGTTTTGTCAAAGAAAACCTGATATTGTGGTCAGGGATTTAAAAAAATAATCAAACTCTGTATAATGTTGGGTAATAATAATAATAGTAACAATAATAATAATTCAACTTTTATGTGAATAATACCACCAACCGACCAGATGATTTACCTAAAAAAACCACATTCTACACAAGATGTACCAAAAGTTTAAATATAATTACTGTATTATAATTTATATATATACAGTATAATTATTTTATTATTAATCTCCCCAAAAAGAAAAACTATATTTTATCTTTAAACGGGTGGAAAATATAAATTCTGCCATACCCCAAAACCTCTCTCTTTACCTCCAAAGTAACAAAGGAAATCTTTGTGAAGTTATATATTTTTTTCGTATATCAACTGATCATCAAATCATTACTCTATAAAGGACATTTAATTTTCTTTCTCACCAATATACTGTGGAACATAGCACAGCTTGTTGTGTTTAAATATGTGTTGGAGAATTCCCTCTGTATGAACTTCTTGATCTGGCATGCTGAGGTACACTGATATTCGCTGACTTTGTACATATACAGGATGTTCTATTAACTGAAATACAAGAATGCTGCATTATCCTCTGTTGGGCTCCTCCATTAATTATTTAAATAGGCCTCACATAGGCCTCTCAATTTTATCACTTCTGGATACTCTCTGTCTGGGGGCACATCTGTAGAATTTCTTGTGCCCAAGTAAATATGCTCCATTCTGCTCCATTTAACCATTGTACTATTTTGTAACTCCAATTGAGAGCCTCAACTGTATAACATCATAACAACAACTCTTAATTAATCTGCATTTGGATAGGTCTAGGCCCCCTACCTAGTCGACTCCTAGACTCTACTACTACTAGAGCATAATTAATAAATTCAGAATTATAATTAGGCCTAGAGTGCTGACCTAGTGTCCTAGAAAAAGGCTTGAACTTGTATAATTTATAACCAGAACCCTTCAGGTGTGTACGTTCCTTTGTACGCAAAAACTAAACACAAATTTGGAAATTGCGATAATTAATAGTCACCAAATTCATTCATTGCATTTTGCCAAATTTGAAACTAATTGGACTTGCCAATTTTTAGTTATCGTGGTATACAGACAGGTTGTTGCCATACATACAGTACACACACACATTTCACATCTGTAGACTGTATCATCCCAATTCAATACTGTAGTTCCCCTGTGACCTCTGTCACAAAGGAACTAATAATAATGGAGGAGGATAAGCTCAGATTTCCAACTCAGCCCACTGATTAGCAGGCTAGTAGTCTTCACATTATTCCCTATTTTAACTTACCAAGGGGCCTAGGCTAGTGTCTCTAGGCAGCTAGCCTTAGCCTCTAGTCTAGGCGGAACCTACTAGGCCCCTAGGCCCTAGAGCCTCTAGTAGAGGCCTAGGCCTAGTCCTAGCTAGGGCCCCAGGCCTAGGACGGAAAGTACACACTTTGGCCTAGCATGTACTTCTAAAGCCAACACCGTTTATTACCTTACTCGTAATTATTTGTGACTGTTTCTTTTTCTCAGAGTCTTGTAGCTTCAATAATCGAATTTTTATATCTTTCCTCAACAATTTCTTCGCCTCTCTGATGGCTGCCATATTGAAATTGGATTGCGCCAACTATCACCAAAATGTAGTTTACATGTCTCCCTCTATTTAAAGCTCCTCCAAATTATCTAGAAACCAAAGTGGTCCGAAATTAACAGATTTCTTTTATCTTTATTTCTAATGAGACCAAAGCTAAAGAACATACCCCGGTTTCGAGGTGGTCTTTAATTGGAGGGAGACCTTTTTGGAAAGGGTTTATTAGATAAATTACAAAAAAAATAATTACTGAATAAAGCAGCATGTGTTATTTTTATGGAAGATCACAGAACAGAAAATTTAGTCCAAATGCTTGGTTGGTCTCCTTTTTTTCTTGCGAAAGGAGAAATAAACATTTATTCACCTTAGTTAATAAATGTGGCAGAGTCACTCTCCGAAATACGAGAGTGGAGAGTCGAGTGGCCGGAGGTAAGACAGGGTCGCCGCTACCTGCAGCCTTAAGGCGCTAGTTCGAGCCGCTCCTCGCCCAGGGTTCTGTCATGGTAGAACCAAGTCTTCTCGGATAAGAACTAGGTCGGGCCACGACCATTCGTAATTTTAGCACTGCTCTGCGAGTTATGGGTCAGACTCCCACTTTTACCTTTACTTTCACTTCAGTTGACAGTGATTATAACTATTCTACCATCCGGCCAGCTCTGCAGGAAACATAATTTTGCCAAAATCAGAACTGAATCTGGTAGGAAGATTTACTTTTAGGGGTACTCCAAGTTGGAATGGGGGAGGGTGGATTAGGTAATACTTTTTCATCGCTTTTAATCTATTTTAATGTTTTTTTTTTATATTTTGTGTTGTTATTCATGTGATTTTAATGTTTTATGCCTACTGGACCCCTTCTGGAAGAACAGTAACAATTTACTAAAGAGGCAACGCAATAAAGAACAAATAGATAAAATGCCTAAATTTTTTTAATTGAGTATGGTAGTTTTGCATTCATTTCATTTTAATCTTTTTATCCTTTATTACCATTGAATTATTGGTCTTTGACTCATGGAAGCATCTGTTGGTTTTGATTGGGTTGGGGGCTTTACTTGAGGTACAGTACATATAAGTACCAAGTAACAAGTAACAAGTATTTAATAGTTTTACCC